CACCGCCAGGAACAGACCTCAGAAGTATGGCCACCCTGCTCCTTGCTCTGACAAGATGATACGCCCTCCCATATTTTGTCTTCTTGTAAGCATGCTAGCTCTCTTGATTTAAAATTGCTCTCCTGCTTTTGTAAATTTGCATACTGCTATACCCTGATTGCTGAGCAGAAAGTATTGCAATGTGTTGCAGAGCCTATTGACTTTATTGGCTCTGTGGGTTTCTTTTGCACAATGAGTTGTGGGATTGGGACCTAGCGATGCCAATTATCAGCAAGAAACCTTCAGATATTCATCTGTAACAATATGCTTTTTCAAAACATAATAGATTGACAGCACTTCCAGTGGTTTTCATATTTTTTAAATAACCAGATTTGCGTCATAGGTAATGGTGCATCCTAACATGACATTTCTTATCTCCTCTGACACATGTAAAACTTTAGGAAAAAAAATACATTTTTATACTACACACATACACATATATATATAAAAAGAAAAAAAATAACTCAGGTCCCACTTACAACAGAATTATAAGCCACAGAAATGCTGGTACGTCTTCCCTTATAGCTGAGCATCCAGGTGCCACTGTAATTTACGCTACATACATGTTTCAAATTGGTGATGAGACACACTTTTCAAAACGCAGTCATTTTAAAGATTTTATTAGACAGACTTACGGTAGGAAGGAATATTCAGAAATTGTAACTTAAATGAGAAAACGTGAATGGTGTTACTTACATAAAATACTACTGCAATAGTTCTTTTATTAATTTTTAATGCACAGCACCCACTGTGACCTCCTTTATTCTTTTCCTGTCAACATGGCAGGCTAGAGAAAGTGAAATGGGTTGTAGCTGTTCTCTTCTTGTTCCCCTCTTCCTCTCATTTTGCATAATATTAAAATATAACATCTTATTGGACTGTCACTGTGAAATAACCATTATGCAATAGGCATAACAATTTTTTCTGATTGTTATCTCTTCCTTACTTTTCAGCATTCTTAAAAAAATTCCAGATTCCATGTAGTTATCTAAGGCAATAAGGCAATTTTCCACTGAATACCCTTGTCTGAATTAAAGTTTGTTAAAAAGTTATCTTTCGCTACATTTCTTACAGTTCTCCAAGGATACCACCAGTCACATAAAATAAAGCACTTTTTGCCTGTCTGGCCTCCTCCGATTATGTTTTTGGGGTGAGGTAGGAGGCGGAGCTGATAAAATAGTGTTTGACTCAATCAGGAGGATGCTATTACTTCTGTTATGTATATTTACTGCTACCTCTATCACCAAGGAGACTAATCTCCATACCAGTAAAGTCACGAAGCGCACAGTATTGTCTTTGCAGGGCCAAGTTCATGTTGTCACAGCAACAGAGTGCACAGGGTCAGCAGATTAATACATTAGTGTGCACAGGCACTGAACTGGAGTGTAAAAGTTTTGCTGCTGGTTTTAAAATTAAACTGTAAAGCAGGACTTGGAAATATGGCCTACATAAGATATTCTTCTCTATCTCAATGAATAGGTTACAAAAGCATGCATGTATTTGCCTAATACAGTCCATCATTTTTACCACAGTGGGAAGAAGAGGAAATAACCTCCTTGGAAGAGGTGCACTCAGTGGGAAGGAGGGAGGAAGGCTGGAGTTCGGGCTATGAAACATACACTGCATTTGGATTGTTGATATTTCCCCCTGCGATGCCCTTTCATTAGCCTCTGTCTAACGTGGGGCCTGACAATTGTGACAGAATGAAAAATTTGAGGAAAAGCGAGGGTCATGAGAGAAGAGATTTCCTTCCCTCTCCAGTGACCCTATCACAGTATTCTGATGCAGCGCTTTACCATTAAGCAAAGGGCAACCCAAGAGCCTTCACACTTAATCTGTTCCATCTGTCATGTCTATTAGAAACATTGACCAGCAGTGAGCTTTAAGGACTCGGTGCGACTGCAGACATGATATTCTAGCCCACTACAAGGACCTCCTGATGTTTTGAAAGCCTCCAAGGAAGTATCATGCATCAAAAAGGGCAACACCTACCTGACATGCCACCATATGTGGTCCTCAGTCCTGCACCAACGGCTGGCCAAGGTGTGCTGTCTGCTTTCAGTCCCATCAGTCCTGACACAGTGTTAGTGGCCGTAACACCATCTGCACCACCTGTGAAAGAAAAGGTCAGTCACTTTTTGTTAAATCATGTGTATAAGAACAAGAGAGGAAAAAATACAACAGAAAAACTGAAACTGTGAAGTAACTAGAAATTCAGATAAACAGCTGAAGACAGAAAACAACAAACTGTAAGGGGATGTGCAGCAGGATCCTTAAGACCAATCCTGGGCTGACAAATTTAACATTAGCTTCAAGGCAGGCTGCAACAGTTGAAAGGGCTACAAGGCAGCATGAGAAACACTGGGGCTGACAGGCAGATCTCTGCCCTTCAGCTGTGTGGGACAGAACCCGCTACAGTGGTTGTTCAACACCTGGAGGTGTCCCAGCACAGAGCTCACCTCCTCCAGGCTTGTGAGGAGCAAGATGAAATGAGCAATGTGACAGAGAAATGATGACTACGGTTCTAAGTGATGGATTAATACACCTACTTGCAAACTTAATTTCCTACCATGTTGTACTTTAAGCTCTAAGGAAAAAAAATAATGTATATACACACACATCTTCAAATGGCTCGTTTTTGTTTTCTCAGGGTACACACACCATTTTCACTACTAAACGTAGCAACGGGGAAATTTACAGTGGTATGGTAAATGTATAAATATGATAGAAATAGGAGCATACAAACACACACACAAACATATATGATTTATTGTTAACAGTCTAATACAATTCTCTTCGTATATTGCCATATTCTAGAAGCATGGACAAGATTAGGAAACCTTTGATCACTGTGCTTATTCTAAATACATAAAATAAACTCTTTGCATACTAGTTTCTGTTCTTTGTTATTATTCCAGCAACTTCCCTATCTTCCCTCATCCAGCAAATTAGTAAATCTGCACAGCTTGTGCACTGGAGTCAGTTACCTTCCTGCGCAGCCATCGCAATATTCACAATATCAGTGACATTTGGGGTCAGCTTGGCAAAGAAAGGAATCAGAACAGCTTGTCTAACCCAGCGACAGATGTTCCGTACCAGCTCTGGATCCTGTTCAAATAGGTCAGATAAATATAGAACATAATTAAAAGTAATATGAACAAAAGGTATATCAAGGAAATAGAAAACTTTGCTATAGGTGGCTATACCATGATTTTGTGAAATTATACATCAGGAATGAACCTCATCTCATTAGTCAACTTATTTCAGACACGCCGAGTAACTGCAAATCCATTAGAGAAAGGTTAGTTCATGAAAAAAGGAAAATTTGCTTTTTTCTTTCCAAAGACAAAGATATCACAAAATGTTCCCTTCCCAAAGAGGGGAAAACATCATTTTGGATGACAGAGACTTCCTTTATCCACTTATTTTAAAAATTACTTTTCAGTTTTACTCTTGTGGAGTGAATTTTGCTCACTCTATGTAAGGTAAATAAACAGTATCCTATAAAATAATGCGAACCTGAAGCATTGGCTGATCATGCCTCGATCAGAACAAGGATGACTCAAGGTTGCAGTGCTATCAGAATGCAATTCAGCATTTCTGAACTCTCCTCTGACTTCAGAGAATAACTTGGGATGGCCATAGTGAAAATTAAAGATTAAAATCTTCTCTGTTAAAGCCAGAAATCAAAATCTTCAACTGCTGGCTTTTCCTGATTTCCAGGCATATACTTCCCTTATGGAGTACATCTCACGTAGACAGTAACCAACTATCCTTTCCACTGAAAACAGCTCACGGGAACTAATATTCTGTGTCTGGCACATATAGCAATTACTGTTCAATATAACTCTTAGGGTACAGGGTTGTTGTCTTTTTTCTGTTGGCTATTGATAATGCTCTTCAACAAACACCTTAAAATCTGCAATACTGATGCACGTACAACATAGCACGTGATCTGCTTAAAAATTGAACTGTGCTGTTACAAGATTTAGTACAAGTATAACCCATGGGTAGGCTAATCAGTACCGCAGCAATTATTTACATTTACTAAATCTTTATCACTCTCTCAAATAATGAAGTCTGCCATATATGAAAAATTTTCTCCCATTTGTATATTCTAAAAACTCAGAAAGCTGCATTGCTCTGTAGCAACTGAAAATGGGATGAGCCTAAATGAAGTTTGGTTTAAAACAATCCAGTGGACACCAGGGTTGTCAGTCTAGTGAACACACAGGAAATATCCCCTTGTTGTTTTTTTCTGTTTACACCAATGGTTAAATACAAACAAAAGAACCCCACAGCCTGCATTCCTAGAAAGTACCCAGTGCTTTACATGAATAGTAAAACCCTGAGACTTAATTGTGGCATTCCAGTAAAAATGGTGATCTCCCCGCCCATGCAGCTTCCATGAAATATGTATGAACACCGCACTGGCGCTATGAAAGTAGCTGCATCTTTGACTTTCATTTCTGTTTTGAATTTCCTTGAGGTCCAACATAGAAATGAGAGACCCGCTAGAAGACATGAATTGTATATCCTTTATGCTAATTCTTCTCCTTAGAAATCCTTGTAATAATGTTCAGGATGTCAGCACCACATAACTCATTATGTTGACTTCATTGTGCTTATAGTGCTGCCATAAAAATTCTTATTCCAACACACACTAACACTTAAAAAAAATACAATTATTTTAATCCACATTGAATAACTTATTGGGAGATCTCTTTCATTCACACAAACCCAATTTCCATTCTACCTAAGACAATTTAACTAAGTTTTTCTTTCTTAATAAATAGTAGTTTGACTTTTTTTTTTTTCCAAAGGTAAGTAAAGACCTTCATTTTTCATCAGTTCTCCTTCTCCTACACCAAGATTAATGCAATGAATGCAGTGGAAGGGTCTTCAATTTCCCAAGCTAGTAAACAGTTTAAATATCTCATTGCACAGCACATGTTTAGGTAAAGCCTTTTTGAAAGGCTCACTTGTATCAGTCAGCCGATTTTCAGTACCCATAAAACCACAGGTAACTTAATAGGAAAATAATTTGAAGGAGGTGAAAATCAATGGAAGGAGGTGAAATCCTTGATTTTACTTCACTTAACATTCCAAGGAAAAAATGTTTAGTGAGGAAACACAGAATAAATAAAAAAATAGTTTACACAGTGCTTTGCTGCATAGTGAAAACAGTCACTGATAGGAATTGGAAAGGTGTTGAATTTTATATAAAAAATTAGAATTTCCATTAAATTTTACAATTTTGGATTGAAACAGTGTTTCTAAAGCTGATTTTTTTACCATAATATTTTATCTAACTAATTTGCTCACTAAATAAATATCATATAAAGATAATGCCGGATGTCCTAAAAAAAATTACTGTTTACCCTTGTGCCACCCGCAAAACACACACACGTGACAGATCTTGCTGCTTCTCTTTTCAGTGCGAGTCCTACCATGGAGCTGTACTGGAGCATCCAGCTGATCCACCCTCCCACCCTCCTCCTCCTCTTCCTCCCTCTGTTCTGCCTCCAGCTCAGATTCCTCCTGGTGCAGCGGCCAACATCAGCGAGCCACCTGAGCCCATCCTCTCTCCATGTGCTGCAGTGACATCGCAAGTGGCCAGTGGCCACTGCCACTACATGCCTGAGCTTCCCTGCCAGAGGGATTTCTATGCCATGGAGTCACTGCATGAGAATACTAGGGCTTTTTTGCTCTACAGACAACTAACATATTCTCATAGAGGAATAATATCGTCACGTGTTTTTACCTGTAACATCACATTTTCTTCTTTAGATCAACAAGAAGTAGTTAATCATAATTCATAATTTCCTACTATATTTGCACTGAAGACATGGAAAAATGCATCATAAGCCATCAGATGTTGAAAACAGAAGATATTTGGGTCACTGGACAGCTAATTGTCATACGAAATGAGTGAACTACACTTACATAATCCAGGGGAAGTTCACTGGATCATGTACAACCTCTCCATGAAAGTTTGCCGTTGGACTGAGAACAATTTGCAGAGGTCACACACGAACACAACTTACGAGAAAGATTTAAGTGATTAGAAATAGAGAATTCACTTCTAAGTGCAATCATCACTAAACAAATTACCCGAATTTGAAATGCAGTTCAAAACTTAAGATTTCTGAGAATATTAATTTATCATATTAAGCAAAGTGTTAAACTCAGGTGCAAATTTAACAAGGTGAGCAGCCTGGTACCAAAAACTAGTTTTAAAGAGGCAATGCACAGGCTTCATTTTGCCTAATTTATTTTGCCGATTCAGGGCCTCCCATCTACACACATTTCTGAAAGATTGACCGCAATTTACAAATTGCATTTACTGATTCTTAGCAGAGATTGGATTTATAAAACATTCAAGGATGAGCATATAAGTTGTAAAAGAATTAATCTTGAGGCCCATAAATCACGTTACAAAAAACAGTTGTCACTGCTAATACAACGTAAGTGTCTTTTTTTACCCCAGTCAACTTTATGAAAGTGTCTGCAGCTTTTATCATTGATAAGGTGGTTGATGAAGCCTGCATAGTTAAGAAATATTTTCTAAATGGCTTGGTATGCAAAATGTTATTAGCTGTAAAAACAGCTGGGCATTTACGTTCACAAAATCAACAACATGAACTAACTAAAATACTAGTCTGCTTAATGTAGTACAGGATTTTAATGCTTTTGGTTCAAAGTCTACCATGTTGCTACAAATTATCTTCTATTACACATAACTAGGTTTGTTGGTTCTCTCATTAATGATGATACAGTGCGATTGTTACAGAATGTGTAGCATAATTTTACTCTGTGTGTCAATTCAGAAGAATGAACAAATGCTTCAATGGACTGTAACATCCATTGGTAGCACAATTCATTTATCTGCTGTGTTTTGTTTTTTTTAAAAACAAACATCATCTAAATAAAAGCTTGGTGAAATTCTCATCAGCTAAAACATAATATTGATTCATGTACTGTACCTACAGGAATCTGTTGGTAATTTAATACCATATAAAGTCTTTTTTGGTATAAGATGTACATCAGTGTCTCTCCTCTCTTCCTGTTCTTAATCAAATATTGCTTGTTTATTCCAAAGGCACGGGAGATTTGAATGTTACAGGGGTTGTCTTTTCACTTCCCTAAGCAGCAGTACAGAATCATTTTCCCTGAATATTCATTATAGCCTTGGGCTAGATGGAGCTTTTAATCCTAACTACTCATTGCCAATGGGTAGATATACTAGAGGAAAAACAACTATTCACCTTTTTTTCTAAATGATCACATGATAAGCTTAACTACAACCGTAACTATAAGTCCTTAGAAATTAAAGCAGCAAGTTGTCTACTGATTGCATTTGGCATTAGTAAGAGATGAATCCCACGTCCTATCTGCCTCAAGGCAGATACATCCTGCATGTTTAAACAGCAGTGTGAAAATGCTGTGCATGGAGTAGGTCACCTCTCCTTGTGTTTCATGGAAAGAAACAAAACCATGAAGAGATTACCATAGAAATGTCTGGCTGTAGATTTTCAGAAATTTTGGAAATTTTTACTATGACCTGTTTTCAGTGTTCTTGCAGGGTCCTCATTTTTACACTATCCTGTTACTACACAATCTTTATACTGTACCCAGAACACCTCTCTGAGGTAGCGAAATACTATTATATCTGTTGGATATGGAGAGAGGAGATTCAGATAGACTGTGGAGTCCCTCCTCAAACTCACCTTGTTTTGGTGTCCAAGTTTTACTAAGTCATTTGCATAAAGATCTGAAAAGGTTTGTCTGGCAGAAGATTGCACTTGATTCTTCAGAATACCTTAAACCATGAGACACTTTCCACATTAACAAAAGAAATATTTTTAATACTTGAATTTAACCAGTTTTTCAGAGTATTTGAATAATGCAAGAGATAGATACAGAACTACTTTAGGGTAATGAACATGCTTTTCTTAAGTACACAAACAGTCCTTGGGAAGCACATACGTGTGAGTATATGTACATACGTAAGTGTGCATATATAAAGAATACAAATGTCTGTCTGAAAGATCTCATAAAAACAAATCAGTTACAGAATTTCCCCCAAAAACTTCAGAAGGAAGGTT